GGTTACTTTGCTATTTGTAAGTTGTAACCTGTTTGGTAGTGTTAGATATTATCTAACAAAATAAATGAGATTTTCCCCCTACTGACTACTTCAAATATGCATGAACTTAAATTTATAAATGGATCGAGAATGACACTCACAGAAATAAGGACTAGAGCCTCGGAACTCTTCAATCAAATCCAGGTACCTGGTCTGCCCATGCAGCAGAGACAACTATCAGATAAACTCAAACATGTTTTCCTTTTCCTCTGGTCCAAACATAGTCTATGCACTCTACACCCGAAATTAGTAAAATAGTATGTGTGTCTTGTTTTTAAATATTTTTATTGATCCCAGAGAGGAAGGGAGAGGGAGAGACAGAAACATCAATGATGAGAGAGAACCATTGATTGGCTGCTTCCTGCACGCCCCCCGCTAGGGATTGAGCCCGCTGAGCCACTGCGGCCAGGCGAAATAGCAGGCGTTAGCTTGAGAGAAGATTGCCCTTAGTAAACAGGAGAAAACACTCTTCTCCGGTTTCAGCTTTCCATCACTCCCATCAGCCGATACAAGGCAGCCGGGGAGTCCCGGAACGTTCTCTCTGCTGGGATTACATATTATCACACAAATGCACATAAGCTTCTCTTGTGTCCTGCCTTTCATGACAATGTAGCCTCATGCACCAGACAGGTGAAGGATTACTAGAAAATCTGAAGAGGACAGGTACATGGTGCTTGTCTTCGCCCCTCTCCGGTTCTAATCCTCAAGCAGTCCATGCTGCTATCATCCACTTCTGTAAATTGTGTCCCTCGACCTGCGATCTGTAGGCATTTAATGACAACAATAATTATGGAAACACATTCATTCAGTTTACTATATGCCAAGCACTAGGAGAACTGTCTGACGGGCATTATCTCATGTAATCCTTACATCCAACCTGCCTTCATATGCGGTGTTATTATCTCTACATCATGATGCAAAACTTGGATTAAGAGAGGAGGGCCCAGCCAGCGTGGCTCAGTGGTTGGGCATCGACCTATGAACCAGGAGATCACAGTTTGATTCCCTGTTAGGGCACATGCCCAGGTTTCGGGCTCCATCCCCAGTAAGGGGCGTGCAGGAGGCAGCCAATCAATGAGTCTCTCTCATCACTGATGTTTCGATCTCCTTCTCCCTCTCCCTTCCTCTCTGAAATCAATAAAATATATTTTTTTTAAAAAAGAGAGAGAGAGGAGGAGGAACTTTCCCAGGGTCACAGTAAATGCAGACTGTGTTCAGACACCACGGATCCCTGACTTCAGCGCCAGCAAATTCCGCATCAGTCCTGCTGTTCCTATGACCCACGTGTAGTATGCAAAATTTATGTGAAAAGCCAAGTGGAACCTCATATTTCATTCATTTTTTAACATGTCAGTATTCAGAAGTAGTGTACTCAATGTTCGTTCATATATACTAGTAATAGCTTTTCCTAGTGTCTGGGTGGAAGAGAAAAAATAGAAAAGGAAAGGATAGTATGAGGCTTAAATCACAGGCAAGTCAGCTATTTATTTTCCATCAAATGCCACTCTGTGCCTGGTGTGCAAGCGTCCAGACTGCACTGTACAATTATCGATGCCTTCTGTGGTGGCTCTGGGGGCGCAGCCACGGCCTTCGCATGACCTCCCAGACATGTTAGGGGGAAGTTTCCGAATTTCGGGTAATCCCTGGATATTAATGAAGGTTAAATGTGAGACAGCACAGTGGCTCTACACAAGTATGGACGAAAACTAAGATGGCATTAATTAGCCATTTAAATATTAAATATGCATAGTGAGATGCTCAGAGGTTCATGTTTCATTAATTCATAGACTATATGTTTTATAATATCATGTGGTGATTTTAAGATAGTTAAGTTGTGATGTATTTTAATTACTGCATCCTCGTAAAAGAACAACATTATTTAATACAGCTTCTAGGTAACTATAAAGTGAATTTTGACTGTCAAAAGGGGAATGTGGGCATATTGAATAGTCTCTTCTAAACAAAATGCTCAAATTCATGTTAATACAAGTGTATTCACTGCATTTATAATCCTATATTTTAAAAGGCTAATATGCAAATCAACTGAACAGCAGAATGACCGGTCACTATGACATGCACTGACCACCAGGCGGCAGACACTCAATGCAGGAGCTGCCCCCTGGTGTTAGTGCGTTCCCACAGGGGGAGCGCCGCTCAGCCAGAAGCCGGGCTCATGGCTGGCAAGCACAGTGGCTGGTAGCTGGAGCCTCTCCCACCTCCACAGCAGCACTAAGGACCCCTCGGGAAGCGAGCCTAAGCCGGCAGGCAGACATCCCCTGAGGGATCCCAGACTTCGAGAGGGCAGAGGCCAGGCTGAGGGACTCCCCCTCAACCCTCCAGTGCATGAATGTCATGCACCCGGCCTCTAGTCATTTAATAATAGAAATATGTATTGTATGCCAAGGAATTCACTAGGTGCTTTACAGGCATTAAGCCATTTAACAGACATAAAACTTGTATGATTTTCATCCCGGTTTTGCAAAATAAGGAGGCAGAAGCTCACATAAAGTAATGAACTTGCCCAAGCGTTAGAGTTGAAGAAGCAAAGTCAAGATCAACAGCAACTTGGTAGCACTAGGATCTGACCCAGTTTAATTATAGAACTCAGGTTCTTCACCAGGATGATAGGCAGCGGCTTCCAACTTTTTTTTTTATCTCACAGCACACATAAACTACTAAAATTCTGCGGCCCACAAAAAATGTATGATACTTTCTGATCTGACAAAAAAATATATAGGTATTATTTTGATCCCTTCACACTGGAGGGCCACTGCTGTGTTGGCTGTTGCCATTTCTTTATTTGATAAATAAGGGAAAAGAGGCCAGTGCCCCTGACTAAACAGTCAGGTACTGCACGTTTCCAAAATCCTCGCGGCACACCGGTTGAAAATGGCTGCGCTTAGCTGGACTGTCATCATTAGCCACAGCATCACTGTCACACACCCCACAGCACCAAGGATGCTGGGGACCACGGGGGCAGGGGGGCCACAGCCATGATGAGAAGCTACAAGGAGGTTTCAACTGCTGACATAAGGGTCCTCCCCACACTGAAAGGAGAGGAGATCCAAGGACTGTGCCTGGCCGCAGAGGCTCAGGCCTGGTGCCTAAGCATGACTCTAACTGTAGATTCTAATTCCAGGCACTAGGACAAAAGCATCAGGTAGGCGGGGAAAGGACATGCATGTGCAAGGACACTGTGTTCTGCTTTTCAATCATTTTGTTCAGTCACAAGATACATCCCCCACGACCCCCAGGCACAGGGGCGGCCCTCCACTGAGCTCCCCTCTGGAATCCAGGAGCAGACAAGTGCCGGCAAGGCAGGACACCGTCTAGATAACCTGCAAAGACAGACCCGTAGCCCTCGCCTTAGCATCTCAAAGTCAAGACCTGTAGACTGGCAACCCCTTGGAAATCCTCGGTGCAACTCTCTCGTTTTGAAAGGAGGTTGAAATGATTCGCCCAACTTCAGGAAGCTCAACACTGAGATTTCAGATTCCAGAGCCCGGCACCTCCTAAGTCAGGGGCTAATCGGAATCCCAATCATCCTTCACGGGGATCCGGGCTCTGGGACAACCAGTAAACCAACTGTCCAGGAGACTTGCCAGAGGCGGTGTTTATTCTTTCGGTCACTTCAAGTTCTTAT